AATCAGATGTTTAATGTATGCTCCAAGAGGGAGAGCCCATAGCAGCCTTATCGACCATTATATTCCCAATTCCCAAGATAGTACCTGACACATATAGGTGCTTAGTAAATCCATGTTGAATTAAATTGAATTGGCTTTATATTGTGCAAGGCTTTAGCACTTGATGCAAGCCCAACAAAGCATCATGAGGACACTCTACCCCACTAGGAAAAAAAAAATTGACTCAAGATTTCCAGGGTGTTTTCCTGGTAAACTGTATTTCTTTCTAGGTCTTCGTAGGCTTTAGAAATTTTCTGTAGTGGGGAGCCTGGGTAGTTCAGTCAGTTAAGTGTCCAATTCTTGATCTCAATTCAGTCATGATCTCGCAGTTTTGGGTTTGTGCCCCACGCCAGGCTCTGCACTTACAACACACAGCCTGCTTGGAATTCTCTCTCCCTCTCTGCCCCAACCCCTCTCCAGCTCACTCTATCTCTGAAAATAAACTTAAAAAAAAACTCTAGAAACTTTTGTAGTAACTGATTAGAGAAACAGATGCTATATTAAATGAGTTTGAGGCTATGCTTTAAAAAGTAAGGCTACATTGGGGGCGCCTGGGTGGCTCAGTTGGTTAAGCATCCGACTTCAGTTCAGGTCATGATATCATGGGTCATGAGTTCGAGCTCTCTGCTATTGGATCATCTGTCTCCCTCTCTCTCTCTCTCTGCCCCTCCCCTACTTGTGTACTCTTTCTCTCTCTCTCAAATAAACATTTAAAATTTTTTAAAAATAAAAATAAAAAGTGAGGCTATAAAAATGAAGCTGAAAAGTAACTTCCCTTCATCACTATTAACTTTGATTGAAAACCCTTCCTTAACAAGCAAGTCAAGCCATAATGTTCCCTACCCCATGACAGTACCATTCCCCCTCCCCAGCACAAAAAAATCTTATAAATGGTCACACTGCAAGGCTGGTTTGGTTCATTTTTCCACCCTACTCCCTACAGCACTACTAGTCCAACTATTTTAGACATTGGAATCTAGTCTTCTGAGGACCCTCAGTGAACATGACAATAATGCCTCCACCAAATTCCCTTTGACACTGGTTAATATCTACTAACAGTAATATCATATGACATACCCATTACATTGATCTGACTTCGGAGAATATCTAACATAACCCCATGTGTTCCAAAGAACAAATACCACCAGCATAATGACAGGATATCTGCTGAGAATGTATATTACATCACCAACTCCTCCCTGCACACCATTACACTACACCCACCCCAAAGGGATTAAAAGCTTTGGTCACTTTCACTACAGAGCTATTCAGGACAGAACTAAAGGGCATCAGGTTGACATCTTTCAAGAAGCATTCATCAAGAAGATAATCAGAGGGCACCTGGGTGGCTCAATAGGTTAAACATCTGACTTAGCTCAGGTCATGATCTCATGGTTCATGAGTTTGAGCCCTGCATCGTGCTCTGTGCTGAAAGCTCAGAGGCTGGAGCCTGCTTTGAATTCTGTGTCTCCCTCTCTCTCTGCCCCTCCCCCACTCACACAGTCTCTACTTCAAAAATAAATATTTAAAAAAAGAAGATAATCAGATAAGTTAACATGATTCAAGTCATCTATGCATACTGGACATACCAGTTTGATTTTCCCCTTGCCTGCTCATCCAGAATAAAGACTATTTGGCTCTAAAGTTTATAACAGAACCAATTTAGGTTGCTTGACTATTTGAGCAAGATAGGTACAGCCCAGAAAATAGAGAACGATAAAACCAAGAGGAACTCTAAAGCTTACTGACCCAAACTCCAATTTTAAAAATGGGAAAACTCTGGCTCACAAAGCTAAAGATGTATTCAATGCCATACAGCAAACCAGTGACAGAGTTGGAACTAGCAACCAGGTTATTTCTGTGTCAAGGTAGAGATGGCTCCACTAAGGATATTCAAGATCAAATTTGCCTCAAAGATGGAATCAACCCATCCTTCCAGGAAAGCACTTATCACATAGGTGCCCCAGTTGTCAAAGCAAGAGCTGAACAAGCACCCCCAAAAGGTTTACCTTACTATAAACATCTAAAACTCTTGTCTTTAAAAGTATAGTATATAAGAAAGTAATTTTTTTTTAATTTAAGACTATACAAATTATATTATTTCTATTTATCAACCTAATGTACATTTTTAGTACAGAATGCATCTTTTGCATTCTTTTAAAACATAAGTTTTCATTAGTCCTAGACAGCCTATGTATGTGTGGTTGTACATGTATATGGGTGGGCTTAGGGAAATTATTTTTTTTTCTGACATCTGTTTTATATATACAAACATACATAAAGTATGTTATCCTTGGTTTTTGAAAGACTAATATTGTTTAATTTTTTTCTATTTAAATACTGACCTGTACATTAAAATAATGTGAAAATTTACATAGGGATAAAATAACTTCCTATAATTGGGTTAGTCATTCCTTTCCCAAATGATTAAACTACAATATGCGATGCAAAAAAAAAAAAAAGTCATGGAATGTTAGAGCTGAAAGTGAGCTTATAGATCTCCTGCCTACCCCTACCTTTGTAAAGCTGCAGACCTGGGGCCCCAGCAAAATGACTTCCCAAGGTCACAGACCCCATTGGTAAGAGAACCATACCCAACTATCTAGTCATCATGTCTAGAGTTTTTTCCCATTATACTATCATTCTGCCTCTGCTCATTTGCAAACAGTGGCCAGTAGTACTTCCCCAGAGAAGTCTCTATCTGGAGACTATTGTCTTTCATTTCCCTAGCCCATTAGTGTCCAAGACTCATAGACTAATAGAGTTAGATCACCTAGCTCTGGAGTTGCAACCTGATTAAATATAGGCTGTGGATGTATTTTATCACATTTTTTTTAAAAGAAGGTAAAGTCCATTTGAAAGGGGTGATATTTTACCCCAATCACTCCAGTCCTATTAACCCATGTCCAACAGCTTTATACTTTTCTGTTTTCTCCTTGGCCTCTGACCACATTTGAGCCTATGATCCCTGAATCCAGATCGAGCATAATTAACAGCACACCAAGGTAAACCTAGTTGATGGAAATGTGAAATAGGGCATTATGTTCTACCATTAGCTATTTTCAGTGCCTTACCAATAAAAATCCATTTGGGGTTTTTAGGTTAACTAGTTATATCAAAGGTCTGCCAACTACCACCAGTGAGACAAACCCAACCTGCTGCCTATTTTTGTTTGCCACCCCCCCCCCCAGCTGAGCTGAGAATGATTTTTCTATTTTTAAATAGTTGAAAAATTCAAAAGAAGAATATTTCATGACATATGAAAATTAACTGAAACTCATGTATCAATGTCAATAAATAAAGTTGTATTAGACCACAACCACTTTCATTTCATGTACATATTATCTATGGTTGCTTTTTCATGACAATGGCAGTTAAGTAATTTCCACAGAAACTGTATGGCCTGCAAAGCCTAAAATATGACCCTTTACATGGGGTGCATGGGTGGCTCAGTCAGTTGAGTGTCTGACGTTGGCTCAGGTCATCATCTCGAGGGTTGGGGGTTTGAGCCCCGCATTGGGCTCTGTGCTGACAGCTCGGAGCCTGGAGCCTGCTTTGGATTCCGTGTCTCTCCCTCTCTCTGTCCTACCCCACTCATGATCTCTCTCTTTCTCTCTCTCTCTTCTCTCTCCCTCTCTCTCTCAAAAATAAATAAGCATTAAAAAAATTTTTAAGGGCACTGGGTGGCTCAGTCGGTTGGGCGTCCGACTTCAGTTCAAGTCATGATCTCACAGTTCCTGAGTTCGAGCCCCACACCAGGCTTTGTGCTGACAACTCAGAGCCTGGAGTCTGCTTCAGAATCTGTGTCTCCCTCTCTCTCAGCCCCCCCCCACTCTCACTCTGTCTCTCTCTCAAAAATAATGAGCATTATAAAATTTTTTAAATAATTTTTTTTCAAATATGGCCCTTTATAGAAGAGGTCTTCTGACCCCTGAGCTATATCAAAGAGAATTTAAAGCTGCCAATTAACTTCTAAAAGTCACAAATATTTGTGTGGAGTTGCTCGCACCCTACATGTCACGCTCAGATGAATCTTCCTAAAGCACAGCTCAAACCATGCCTCTCTCCTACCAAAAACATCTTTATGCTATCTACAAAGGAAAATCTGAAGTACTTAATAGGTTCCTGCACAGTCAAGTCCTCAACCTTCTATTCCAACCTCATCTCCCAAAACTCCTTCCTGCACCCTACATATTGCAGATGACTTGAATTATCTGCTGGCCCTTTACATTCTTTATATCATTCCTACTACAAGAAATCCTTGCCCTGAATACAGTCCAACACAGCAAAATAAGCAGGGCCTTTAGAGTCAGGTCTGGGTTCTAATTCAGACTTTTGCCCCTTTTAGTTGAGAAAGTTACTTAATACCTCAGAACTTCAGTTTTTCTCATCTATAAAATGGGAATATAATCCTTACCTCATAAGCTGTTATGATATTTTAATGCCTGACACATGGGAACAGTTAAACAAGCAATAAGTGTTATTAATTCTGCCCAATTCCAATGCTACTTCCTCCTTTACTTTTCCTTGTCCTCCCACCAAGAAATAAGCTCTCCTGCTAGTGTCATGTGCCACAGTAGCCACCTGTTCCACTCTTATGACTCTGATCCATATCTATGATATACATGATAGTGAACTCTACCCATGTCTTGTCTCTCCTACTAGTCTAGGAACTCTCTCATGGCAGGATCCATCTATGACTTACTCTGCCACACCTGTGATAGCCCTGAGAACACTGGCTTGAATACAGTATGGGCACAAGTATTTACTGAATGAATGGTATGTGTTCAGTGAACTATATATAGCATTTATTAAGTGTATTATATTGCACTGTGATATAAGAAAGAGCCACATCACTTGTTCTGAATAATACCTAGTGTGAGTGCTTAGAAAATATTCAAACATCAGGGACCAAACTCCCAACAGAAAAACAAAGGACAAACAGAAAAGCAGGAAATACATTCACCTTTCAGTGATGATGTTTTTATTTTCCATTAGTTTATGTTATAATCATCATCTTGTACTCCAACAATTATAAATGGATCACATTTAAGGGGGGGAAATAAACCACTTCCCCAAGGGAGAAACGGTATTATTCATAACATCAATGACCTATGAGTACAAAAGTAAATGTAAATATTCAAAAGGGACCTACATTTAATGAATAAATCATCACAAACAGTTGTGACTAAAACCTCATCTGGAGCTCTGTACAAAATCAGACACAAGCAGAATAAACATAGAAATCAAGTTCCACCCAGGTTAACAACTCTAACAAAAACTGCAACTAGTTTTTGCAGCACAATGCACCAAGTTTCATTGGTTCCTAGGAACACTAGCCATTTGATTTGATAGTCAGTTTAGTAAGTTAAATATAAAGGTGTCTATAATTCTTCATGACTTTAATGCCATATTCCAACTGCCAAAACAAATCCCCACATATGAATACAAAATTAACTGCTGACATATGCCAATAAATGAAGGGAGTGACATTTTCCAATAAGATGACAGCAAAAAATATGCTTCCAACTACTTCTGCTTATGCATTTCCCTTCAGAAACCTCATTAAAAATACACATTCACCAGCAGATACATTATTAGCCTAAAGACATGTTATCAACAACTTCCAATGCTTAGCTGTTTCCATTTACAAAACACTTTCATAATCTATTTACTCCCTTGAGTCTCACCACAACCCTGTGAGGTGGGTATAATTCCCCCCATTTAACAGATAAAGTCAGCAATTTGTACCATCTTATCCCAAGATGGTGAAGCCAGGTCTTCTAACTCCAGCTCTGGTGTTCTCTTTTCCTATTTCCTCCACACAAAGCAAAAGCATACCTTTGTTTTGCTTCCCCACTTATTCTCAGAAAGCTAGCACAGTGTGAGGAAGTAGAGTGGGAGTATCAACATTACTGTGGTCAAGACAGCAGGAAACATCCCGCTTGTGCCTCTACCTAATCATGTTTTTAGAATTGTGCAACTTAAAGGAAAGAAATGGAGTGTGGGTTAGCTGCTTTGTTTTATTTCCTACCTGTCCTATTTTGGCTTTCTATGTATATTCACAAACAGAAAACCACCCTGAATATCCAGAATATCCCATGGGCTAAAATGATTTCTTGGATCTTCTACCCATCTGCAAAAGTTTAGGCCTGCATAATTATTGACTCTTACCACTCTTAGTCTCAGAAAAGAAGGAAGGAATAAAAACCATGACTTGCCCGAAGCTTACAAAAATTTGCCCTTCCTCAAATGTTTTATTGCACTGTTTATTTTTTCTTAAAAATCTGAATCTCTCTGCTGTGCCTTAGCAGGTCACTTTTTAGCACAAACACTTTCTGCTTAGCATACACTTCTCAAAACCATCCACTTCCTGGGGCTTATGACAAGCTATATTTGACTGCAGAGGCTACACCAAGCAGTTTATCACAGTAATTGTTTTTAATCCAAATATTCTCCTCTTTCCTTTTTAATGAGCCCTCAACCTTTCTAACTACTTTTGTGGTATAACCTGCATACCTTTAACCTCTCAATAAATTTGATTAAGTGGCAACATACTCCAAAAGCTGGCCTAGAAGTCTCTAAGGACCAGTATTTCAAAATTCCCCATCTTTAAGGTGCTGCCAAGAGTGTGCTCTTATTTAGACCACAATAGTACAAAGCGTTAAATAATCAAGCTCAATCAAGTGACTGGCAGGAACTTGGACAATTCATATATTCTGACCAAATGTGCAGACAACACCAGCAGTGAAAGCGGACTCCCAGGAGCAAATCAGTAAGAGCTGCATAAAAAAGCAGTAACCACTGCCTTTCTCCCTGTTCTTCATTGGCTGTATTTGCCTCAAAGGAGGTCACCACACTGGACTTAGACACAGTCTTTTGGGGATAAATCCATTCAGAAAAAAGTTATAAATATATAGGACATATTTACAAGTAACTCTGACCAGTGACTTTATTTTTCGCAGTCATTTTTCAGCCAAGAAGGGAAAAAATGATCACTCCACCCAATCACTGCCCCCCCCATTCTTCTGGGTACACTCTGGCACAAAAGGCTAGCTTGCTTGCACTCCTGTCAGGAATGTTTATTATTCTTTCTCTTACTCTAAGTCTTCTGCCAACTAGCAGAAATAAAAACTCAACAAGTAGGGAAAGGGGGTAGGGTCCCACAGCTGTCAGCTGTGACCACTGGGAAAGCTAAGTTAGGTGAGATTCCTGCAGACCAGTGGCTCTTAACCCTGGCCCTATAATATGCTCCCTGGGGGGGCTGGGATCCTTGTGTCAGGTGCTAGGCAGGTCTTTATTTCACCCCCAAGCAAAATGCAGTGGAATGTGAGGCCATCCAATAATTCTGAGCTTAGACTGACTTTGACCAAAACCTTAGCTCAGTAACTTAAAAAAAAAAAATCACTGGGGCAAAGGTGCTTTCCTTAGAAAACAAGTTGAGATAGGGAATTTTTTTCTGCCCCCATCTGTATCTGTAGCGACTACAGGCTGGGACAAATCATTACTCAAGCTGCCGGCCTCAATCCCCTCCTCTCTAGGAGGTGCTAGGGGCAGTTCCTTGGTCAGCTTGGATGTCTCTTTACCCAAACATGAGCACTAAACATGTCTGACAGTACAGGCAAATTGCCCCCTCGGAACAACCTGCCAAGTAAGAATAGGTGCAGAGTAAGAGATTCCTTGGCACAGGTACAGATCCTGTCTTATAAGGTCAAGGCCACTAAAGGGAAAGGCCCAAAGTTCTAGTTACAGCCACCACCCTCCACTTCTACTGACCCCACTGCCGAAGTGTTCAGAAACCCATTCGCCTAAGAGAACAGGATTGGGAATCACCCTGAATCTTCCCTTTCCCTGTAGTGTCGAAGAGCTTAAAGGCCAGAGTCACTGGCTCAAGGAAACGGCTCATCCATCGAAGCCTTCCACTTACTTCTCATTGCGCTGATAAGCGCGTTGCCATCTTTGATCACGTCCTTAATGAATTTATTGGTCCTCTCCAGCTCCAGCTCATAACACTTGAGCCTCTCGCGGAAATCAGGGCTGTCCAGGTAGCAGTCGCTGAACTCCAGCGGGGGGTGCCCCATGGTTCTGATGGCGAGGGTTGAAAGAGAAGAAAGACACAAAGACCAAGAGCATCAGCGACACAGTAGAGGGGAGTAGATGGGAAGGATTGAGTGTGGGTCCCGCCTGGGAAATTCTTAGCCTCCCTCCCTTTGGAGGACAGGTACCTGTTCGGTTGAGATTCCCGGGTAGAGCCGGCTGGCCTGTACCGGAAGCGGGAGGCCAGCAATTGCTTCAGGTGACACGCAAAGCAAACTAATGCGGTCCGACCCGGGCTGGGTTCTTCTGCCTAGCAAGCAGCATGCCCCCAAGGCATTGCCTCCCCAGACAGGCGGCCCAGCTTGCCCCCGGAGAGCAGCGGGATCCTTCCAGAGCAACTGCAAACGTGACACTTCTGCCCGCCCAGGGTGTAGGCTGTGGTGAGCACGGGGGCTGGAACTCTCCTCTCCTCGCTCCTTGTTCCCGAGCTAGCTGAAGATTTCCTTTGCCGAACTCCGCGGGCAGCCCTGATTGTACTGTCCCCTCCCCCTTCTTAAAGCCAGAGCTGCCGCCCAACCCCAGCGAACCCTTGTGCCGAGCCTCAGCACTCCGGCTCCTTCTCCAACTGTTCTCCACGCACCCTGGGATTGCGTTACCAAAGTGTTCTTGCTCCCAAGAGTTCTTCCTGGTCCAAGGGAGCCGGCCTGCTGTCCTGTCAGTCTCCGGACGGGTTAAGCCTAGGAGGCAATAAAACGTAGCCTTCCACCCTAGACACCCGAGAGGGAAGAGGAGGGCGATATCACTACGCACAATAGCTGCAGTAGCCCGGCGCTTCCCTACGGAAACTGGGGAGCCGCCGGCGCCCTGGGACTCCAGCTGGAAAGCGTGGCGGCCTGGGAGATGTAGTCTTTCCGTTTCTCGTCCCATGACTCCTCCCTGCGATCTCAGCACCACTCAGCCAGGGCGGCGGCTCTCAAAGCAAGACTTTCCCAGCCTGCCCCAGGTTCATTCCTCAAGCCCAGCCTCGAGGGGCAAGTGCGCTGCTCTGGAGCTTCTAAGTGGAAAGTTTCCAAAAAGAGCGAGAGAACAGGGAGGCATCAATGGTGGGAGGCCATCTCTCACTTCCCATTACTTGGCTGTATTTTTTTTTTCCCTTGCTCTTTCCACCCTCCCTCTGAGGAAGCAAGTTCTTTTCCTCTTCCCTTGCCCATTTTTCCTGGTTCTAGTGTTCTAACCCCCATGAGCCTTAGACCTGAACAACCTGAAGGGTTGAGTGCTACTCTAGCATCTCATTGTTACGCTCAGAAATCCCCTGCCAAAGGAAAGACCATACTTAGGAGTTCACTGTTTTCTGAATAGGACCTCAGAATATGGTTTTGTGACTCAACTCACTGTATAGGTTTTTCATTAAAGCACATGATTTTCAATGTGTAAGTGGAAAATCTAAGAAGAGGTTGTTATAAATTGTCTTACAGCTTACCCAAGAGATATCTTGTTCATTGTCCAAGGTAGAACTGAGGCCACTGTTACAGGCCAATGCCTTGAGATCAAAAGTAGTTACGTGTTGGAAAATCATGTGTACATGGGCAAAAGGATCCATTTTTATTTTGAAGAAGTGTTTAGATTACATTGCCCTGTGATGAAAGCCAGGAAAAGCCATAACTGAAGAGAGTTGTAAATAGAGTAATAATGACCAAGCCACCTGTATTGCTGTTCTATTTCTTATAGTTCTATCTTATCTTATGGTTCCGGAAGTCAGAAATCAGAAATGGACCTCACTGGGTCAAAACCAAGATGTCTCCCACTGCATTGCTCTGAAACTGACTCTCCTGCCTCCCTCTTTCACTTATAAGAACCAACCAAATAACACAGGATTATCTCCCCATCTCAAGATCCTTAACTTAATCACATCCACAAAGTTGTTGTTGTTGTTGTCCTTACCCTGTAAGGTAACATATTCACAAGTTCCAAAGATTAGGACATGGGCATATTTGGCAGGAACATTCTTCTGTCCGCAAACCTATAATCCTATAAACCCACTTCATTAATCCTCAAAACAATCCTATGAGGTTAGTATTATTATTATTATACCCATTTAAAGATACCTGAGTTGGGGGCGCCTGGGTGGCGCAGTCGGTTAAGCGTCCGACTTCAGCCAGGTCGCGATCTCGCGGTCCGTGAGTTCGAGCCCCGCGTCGGGCTCTGGGCTGATGGCTCAGAGCCTGGAGCCTGTTTCCGATTCTGTGTCTCCCTCTCTCTCTGCCCCTCCCCTGTTCATGCTCTGTCTCTCTCTGTCCCAAAAATAAATAAACGTTGAAAAAAAAATTAAAAAAAAAAAAAAATAAAGATACCTGAGTTGAAGAGAAGTTAACTGACTTGCCCAAAGACACACAGCTAGTTAAGTGACAGTTTTTGAACTTGAGCTTAACCTGGCTGGTTCTAGAGGCACTTTTAGCCACTGTACTATACCACAGTATAATAGAGTCCAATGAAGAAACACCTTCAGAAAATTAATGAGTAGCCACATCCCAGCGAAGGATTTTATTTCCTACTCCTTTTACCTTCATGAGAAAATGCCAGAAATGGGCTTTAAAAACACCAATGCACATACTAAAGAAGGTGCCCACTAAAGAGTATATGGTCTCTCATTCTACCAAGGTTCCTTATAGCATTCATTCACTAATTTGACAAGAATTTATTGCATATCTGCTATAACAAAGTCTGTACCTGGTTTCATCACTATAATCAATACCATTGATATTACTGATGTTAGGTACACTCATGCTTGTCTAACTTCCTATATTCAAAGTGTTTGTATAGTCTTCTGTTTTATCCTTTATCCAGACAATGAGGCTAAAGTGCAGAGGAAAACAAATGCCCTGTATCAAATACCAGATAAGAAAGAGGGTTAAAATTTGAATTCAGTCCTTCAAATATTAGCTGCATTAATTGAGCATTATCCTAGAAGCTTTTCACAGATTATAACTCACCCTCACAACAACCCTAAAGGATTGGGATCTTCAAACTTTTATCCACATAACCCGTAGAAGAATTTTGAGAAGCTATGTACTACCTCACATATTTTTAGGTTGACATCTAAATTTTTTCATCATGTTTAAATAGTTGCAAAAGGTATAATATCTACCATACTATACATATGGACAACTTAAAATAAAACTGTTATATTACACTTTCATTGGAGGGCATCTGGGTGGCTCAGTCGGTTGAGCGGCCAACGTCGACTCAGGTCATGATCTCATGGTTTGTGAGTTTGAGCCCCGCGTCGGGCTCTGTGGTGACAGCTGAGCCTGGAGCCTGCTTCTGATTCTGTGTCTCCCTCTCTCTCTGCCCCTCCCCGACTCATGCTCTGTCTCTCTGTGTCTCAGAAATAAATAAACATTAAAAAAAAATTAAAGGTTTTCATTGGTTTCTAAATACCAGAGCAATTTGATGCCTACTATCAAACATTAAACAGGAAAGTGTAAACTTTCCTTTAACCTTCAGAAAACTTACATTGTTTCTTTTTCTTCTTGAAATCAAATGTCCATTGCATTCTCCGCACAGAATTGTATTACAATATATTTTTATACTTGAAAGTCTCCTATTGATCACCATATTGAATTTCTCTGCAAAACAGACATGTCCATAAATAGATATTGAATTATTTTTATTTCCTTGTGATCATAGGCTCCAAGTATAAAAAGTTTTCTAGACTGAATTACAATTGCTATTGTTATTCATACACAATACATAAAAATAGCATGAAATTTTTTTCAGATCTCATAAATTTTATTTGTAGCAACAAACCTCAAATAGCCATTATACAATTAGGGTATCCTGAAAACCAACATCAAGGTCATAAACCCTTCTGTCAATATGAACCATAGAATAGGATTGTGCTGCTATCCTTAGGATATCTTGTTTCATGGATCAAAGATTTGAGTCAATTAATTACCTTACATTATTTGACTGGGTAAGTTTGGTCATTCAGGGTTTTTTTTAAAGTTTTTTATTTAAATTTCAGTTAGTTACCATACAGTGTAATATTTGGTTTCGGGTATACAATATGGTGATTGAACACTTCCATACAACACCCGGTGCTCCTCATAACAAGTGCCCTCCTTAATGCCTATCACCTATTTAATCCATCATCCAACCCACCTCCCCTCTGATAACCATCATTTTTTTTCTCTGTAATTAAGAGTCTATTTCTTGGTTTGCATCTCTCTCTCTTTTTTTTCCATTTGCTTATTTATTTTGTTCCTTAAATTCCACATGAGTGAAATCCTATGGTATTTGTCATTATTAAACATAAAACATAAACTTTATTGGAAATGCAGGTCTTAGTGAGGTGGATGGGGAAGGGGTAATTATAGGGCCTCAAGTTAAAGAAGATTCCTGGACATCAATTTGTGAAATTGTTGCTTTGCTTAGCACCAAGAGTTATTTACACCCTGGGTCAATATACCATAGTAAAATTCTTGACCTTTGAAAAGTATGCTTTCATTTTGAGAAACTTGGAAAAGCAAGTGGGAAAGACAAAGAGAAGATGAGTTCTCAGGCAAATAGATTTTTTAGGAAACAGTACTAAAGGATGTTGAGTATTTAGAAATTGGTCCTCTTTCGGCTGTCTCAGCTTTGGTAATTCAGGATTACCAAAACTTGAGAGGACCCAAGAGGTCCTTCTGTAGGTAAATGTACAAATAAGCTGTGTTATATCTGTACAATGGAATTTCATTCATTGCTAATAAGAAAGGAGCTATCAAGACAAAAAAATATGAAGGAAACTTAAATGCATATTAGTTAAAGAAACCAATCTGAAAAGGCTACGTACTGTATGAAGCCAACATTATGACATTCTGGAAAAGACACAACTATGAAGACAGTAAAAAGATGGTTTGGGCCAGACGGTGTGGAAAGGGAGAAGAGAGATGAATAGATGGAGTAAAAGAGGATTTTTAGGGCAGTGAAAATACTATGTATGCTGCTATAATGGTGGATACATGCCATTATACATTTGTCCAAACTCATAGAATGTACAACACCAAGAGTGAACCCTAATGTAAACTGTGGACTTTGGGTGATTATGATGTGTTAATGTAGGTTCATTAACTGTAACAAATGTGCCACTCTGGTGGGAGATGTTGATTATGAGGGAGGCTGTACATGTGTTGGTGGAGGGCTTTATGGGAAATCTCTGTACCTCCCTCTCAATTTTGCTATGACCTTAAAACTGATCTAAAAATAAACTTTGTAAAAAATATTGGGGAATACAAATCCCATTTTCCCTATTTCTTGTATGTAAAGATAACACCACCTCTAATACAGGACAGAGTCTTAATACAGGGCAGAGATGAGGAATCACTCTATTTTAGCTGTGATGCTGTGGGAAGAACACAGAGCTTCGAACAATATAGGTAATACAGAGCTGAAATATGGTCTAGCTCCACCCCTTAGAATCTCTGTGACCTGAGTAAGTCATGTATACTCTCCTTGAAATAATATATTCGTAAAAAATTTTTCTAAGAATTAACTATAGTAATGTATGTGAAAGTGCCTGGAATATAATAACCCCTCAATAAATGTTGGTTGAGTTCGAAGCTTTTTCATTGCTCTTGTTCCAATGAACAGCATCAGAGGCAGAAAGGAGTGAGATTGCTCACAATAATATTCCTAGAGAAACATTACTATTTATATAAAACCACAACTTGATCCCTGTTCGTCATCATTATAGGAAAACAAAAACAAAAACATTCTCAGAGGAAATTTACACTTCACCTAACACAGAAACTCTATCCTGATTTGTGGTCTGGTTAAATATAAAGCTTTCTCAACTTTTAGGACATTCAAAGAGTCCGCAGCATAACAACACAGCCAAGACTCCCTTTCAGGTTTTAAGAACCAAAACCTGAAATCCTGGAGTTAATCATTTTAGTGGATTA